CCAAATCTGGTGGAACTCTAACTCTGAATAAGATAAAAATTATTAAACACATAGAGACTGTGTTATTTAATTTATTATTTAATTTAGTTATTATCTGAACTTGACAATTTTTAAAATGTGGCTTACCACTATATCTGTCAAAAATCAAAACACAGTTCTTGCCTCCCTCCACTGAAATAAGGGAAGAAATGTGTAAAGGAAAGAAAGGAAAATAGAATCAGTCACGTGGTTGTTATTTCATTGAAAATAAATCATTTTGCTTCATTTTGTCACTTCATCTGCTGAAAAGGCATATCGAATCCGCGTTCAGAAAGCCATCTTGTGTGGCTCAAATGTGAAAAGTAGAGCTGAGGACAGGATAATGAGCCAGTCTTTTACCTTTTAAAAATCCTAATCTTCAGCCTATACCTGTAAGGTTGTTTTACTAAAAATATGAACAGTTTTTCAGCAGAGCATAACATAAGATATATACTTTACCATTTGTTCATACAATAGAACGTAGGAGAATAATATACTAAAAGTGCTGAGAATCATATCTAACTGCTTGCATAAGTATTTAATTATTATAATCTAATGATCAATTTATACGAATGAGAAACGGGGAGGGAAAAGCTGCATATAAGTTCTAAATAGTTGAAGAAAAAAATCTTCTTTGAGGTCTACTTGTAGTACAGTCTAGTTCATTATACAATTATAATTATATATTATATTCTGTAGTCTGACTGCCATTTCAGCACATTTCTGGAACCTTCCAATTTGCCTCTGGGTGCAATTCAAGGTGCTGGTTATTACTTTCTTGAACTTGAATGATATCTCTTCTCCGGGATTGTTCATTTTGTCATATCATCTGTGCCTGCAACTTTTATTTTCTTTTAACTTTTTAGCTGTTTTATCTTTCACTCACCAATAACTAACTTTAATAACCATGGTATTTAACAGCAAACATCTCTTGTGAACCAAAGTCAAAATTGGATTGCTCACAACAGGGGTGGGATTAAAATTTTGTAACAACCGGTTTGTGGGTGTGGCTATGTGACTGGGTGGCTTTTTTGGCAGCAAGAAAAACCCCTCCCCATTTTGGGGCCTTCTGTGCCTCACGGGAGCCTCATTGGGGGTGTTTTTGCTCCCAGGAAGCTTCCCTGAGACCCAGGAGTGGGGGGATGGGGGGAGCTGTACCCCCCCTGCTCCATTTTTTGCCTTCCTGGGCCTCAGGGAAGCCTCCTGGGTGAAGCAGTAAGTAAGCGAGGGGAATCTTGGCACAGCTCATCATAGGAACAGCTGATCATCGGGCGGAAAAAAAAATACCTTGAGTGACTGGGTTAGGAAGAACACAGAGATGTCGGGCATGCATGCAATGTTGTGCATGCGCAATAAGGACTGACTGGGTGGGGAGGGGAGAGGAGAGGAGGGTGGCGATGGGTAGGGTCAGCCAGGGGCACGATTTGTCAGTTCTCTGAGCTGCGCAGAATCATTATAACCTGTTCTATAGAACTGGTCCAAACTGGTAGAACCCTACCCCTGACTCACAGTGCTTTTAACAAGAGTATCTTTCCCTTAATGATTTCCATCTTTAGTTTTGGGTGCAACACCTTTATATTGCACATCAATTTTGTCCTTTCTTGGATCAGAAAATATTGGGCATTCATTCTTTGGTCACCTGATTGGTGGACTATGTAATGTGCTATACACGGGCTTCCCAAAGAACATCTGAAAGCCTCAATTGTTCCTATGTGTGGCAGCACAGGGCATTGTGAGTAAGGCTCATTATGCCCATGTTACACTTTTATTCCATGAACTGCCCTGCTCCCAATTTGATGCAATTCAGGATGCTGATTATTACTTATAAAATCCTACATAGCATGGGGACTATCTGAAAGATTGCATTACACCCAATGTTTTTACCTTCTCATTAGGCAGTACAATCCTGCTGATTATATGGTCAGGGTTATATGGTCAGGGCATGCATGTTCTGTAGTTACACCTGCCCTCAAGAAGATCCTATCTCCTGAAGTTAGGTTGGCTCCAGCTCTGCTCACCTTTTAAAAAGCCTTAAAGACCTGGCTGTCTTTTTGGCATGGGGTTCAGGACAATAATTCAAACCATATTGTTAGAGCATGGTGTCTTTGATAACCACTTTGTAATTTAGTTAATCACATGTTTATATGTGTTTTTATATTATATATGCTTTTGATCTGTAGTATAATCAGTGTGGGATAAGTCATACTTCCCCCTTGCCATTTTTTCCCCTCTTGTGAGTCAAGTCTAATTATTTGCTATCCTCCAAAGTCAGACATACATAAAAAGCTTAAATACTGAGCAGATAATTAGTATTAATTTCATCTATGAAATAGTAATATTTTCAAATTGTCTTTCCTTCTGTAATAACTACATCATAAATTAGATTGAACCAGAATACTTTAAGGGAACACTGAGAGAAAAATTGGCACAAGTTATAGGAATTTATATAAATATTAAATATTTATATTAAATGAGGAGAAAACTTAATGAGAAATAAGGACTATACTATGGTACATATCCAATGGTTCTAGCTGAATAACTGTTTATTGCTGTATAATCTGGTTTCAGTTAGCACAATTGGCTATAATCAATGTAAAAAGTGTTATTTTACCATACCATATTATAAAATTTTTCAAAATTAAAATCACTTCAAATTTTTAATTTATACAAGGCTTTCCTATCTTGTGGTTCTTCTGTGTGGTTGGCTTGGAATACTTCTAACTATAGTTGCAGTATACCTGAAGGAACATAATTACTTATTTTAATTGAGATGCTTAATGTTTCAATGGGTAATATTTACAGTGTTCTGGTTTGGGTATTTAAGGTTCCACTAGGGATTCCTTTGATGTGGCAACCTAATGTGGTTACCTTTATCACAGTTACTGGTTTCTACCTGTTCTACTTGATTGGAAAGAAAGAAAAAAGGAAAGTTTTTGAAAGTCTCAAGCTCAACTGTGTGCATTCATTTTGCATCATAGTTCTGCCTATTGCCGTACCCACAACCAACACTTAGCATGGCCTTTAGACACCACAAGTTCCCTATGTTGTGACAGAATATACTTAAAAATAATACTGTAGACCTAATTATTGCTTTTCAATCTTCATATATTGCATTGAAACTACAAGAAACATAATTTTAACAAATGGAGGGCAAAAGCCACCTAGCAACACAAAAAAACTTGCTGCAGATTTGAAAAGGGATACATTTTGGAGGGGGAAGAAGGAAAGATGATGAAAGAAAAGCAATTTCTTAGCCAAGAAGTTGACGGAGAATCAGGAAATGAAAGCTCAGCTAAAACTTTAGATATTGTACAAAAATAAAGAAAAGAAAAGAAGTGGAACACTGGCTTCCCTGTGAAGTTGATGAATGTTCACAGATAATAAAGAAAAGTTCAGTATTTTTTTAACAACAATGGTAATTCAGGGAGAGGATGAAGAGGCAAAATAAAGATTTTTAGAGGAATATTTGTCTTGAATGCATATAATTCTTCAGCTCACCCTTAGGAACTGAAGAACCTTGCAGAAAACCTGATGAATTTTAATGTATTATCCATGAGAAATTCTGAGAAAATATATCCCAGATGACTGAAGGTTAAATGTTCCCAATTTCAAAGTGTGTGTGTGTGACAGAGAGAGAGAGAGAGAGAGAGAGAGAGAGAGAG